TCTGAAGTTTCACTCTAAACTGGGTGAGAGCAATCTTTATCTGTAGACATGCTGTATTCCGGATTGGTGGGTTTTTTTAAAAATGAGAAGCTTCTCTAGCTTTTGTGGAATCCCACTTCAGAGGGATTTTTATTTCCTAACCTGTTTTGTAAACAATCCATTTAATTACTTTGGAGTTTCATTTTGCATTTTTTTTCGTAGGTCACTGATTTCTTGCTAAGCAAAACAACTGTGTAGGTGGATGGTTTCTTATATCTTTCAGGCTCTGTATTTCTTAAAAGTAGGATCAGAACTGTAGCTGTCAATTTTGTTGCTTCTTAAAATGTGTGGCTGATAGTCACTGCTATGAGCTACATGTCAAAATCTTTACAAAGCGAAGGGTCAAAAGACACAAGTAACAAGAGTTACATGATGAAGAGTAACAGAAATCAGAGGAAGTGAATGTTTCAGATTATCATGGTGGTTCCACCGAGGCTCCATGCTCCATTTTGGAATGGAGGTGGACTTGCTGCAGGGGTCCAGAGCAACCAAACGGTGTTGGCCTCAGCCTTAATAGTCCTCTCCCAGAGAGGGAGGGAGAAGCCTGGTTAGTATGACACAACCCCGTTTTGCTGGTTGGTATGACACAACCGTATCATGAGGTTACACTGGAACTATTCCAGCACTTCAGGCAGCTTAAGAGCCATAAGCTGATGACCCTAAATAGGTCTCAGACTACTTTCAACTGTATACTGATTTTCCAGGCTCTTAAATGACCAACTCCAGAGGTCTGTTGAAGATTTACAGCACCGATTGTCCCTCAAAAAGGATGAACTGCAGTCAGCTCAAGAAGAAATTGTAAAGCTAGAGGAGAAAATAGGTAATCACTAGTTATTTTTATGCTTATTTCTTGTTTTTAAAATACAAAGTACTTATTCTTTTATTTATAGATAGGTTAAACCAGAGGAGCACTTCACAGGATGAAGCAGTCAGTGTGCTTAGAAGTACTATTACTGTTCTGGACAAAGAAAAGGACAGTCTTCAAGAAACTGTAGATGAAAAAACAGAAAGAATTGCATGCTTAGATGACAACTTGGCTAACAAGGTATGTGCAGTAAAAGTACTACTTTGCAGTCCATCTGGGGATTTTTAAAGCAGTTACATTTTAGGGAGGTATTTTGCCTTGATGATAAAGCCTGTGCAGAGTTCTAAGCATCGCATAAGCACTATGTTTGGACCTAGCCAATACAAAGAGTTTTTTGATGACAAGACAATCCTTTCTCAGTAAAGAAAAGAAGCTTGGAAATTTGAATGTGCAAAGATGCAATTACTTATTGGTGAAGGGTTAAAATAAAGGTTTAAATGTAAAGTTCTTTAACTTGAAGTATCCTGTTGTATTAGGTATTATTATATTGCAACATAACTTTGGCTTTTATTTTCATAGGAAAAAACAATTACGCATTTACGTCTAACTCTTTCTGAGCTGGAGTCCTCTACAGAGTAAGTAAAGACTAGGATGCCCTCTTCAGTGGTTTTATTTTATCTAATGGTTTTAACCTGAAAGTAGATGGCTATTTTAGTTATTTTGGTGAAATTGAGTTAATTCTGTTTAAGTTAAGTAAAGGAGTGTACTGTGTTGAGAAAGATGTACACAACTTTTGAAGAGACTTCCCCTGCAATTATACTGCAGGCTGCTAAGATACTGTTAAGACAGCCATTAACAATTGTTTGTCTATATTTATTTTCCTAAGTTGATAACATTTCTTAATTCTCAGTTAAGAAGTAGCTTTTTAGTATTCTAAGTACTCCACTAGATATTATTAGATTGACCCAGGTAAAACTCAGAGCGGAACTCTTAATTATTGGCAGCTAATTCTTCCAACTTAAGCTACCAGTACAGTCTTAATTAAAATATATTTACGTAGTTTTTAGATGGGCTTCATCTGATCTTTGCTTCTTGCTTCTTTTTAAACATGACTTTTAAAACTATAGCTTTTTAAAAGAAAATATTTAAACACCAATATTTAAACATCTGGAGACCAGTGTAACTGAATATTTGGTACATTGATGCATGAAGTATCTGTGGCAAAAAACTAATGCAAAAGTTTACTTAAATTCACATGTATTTATATTTCTACTTTTTTATTTAATCTCTTCCTTACTCTTGATTGTTGTCTTTCAAGTGTAAGCTATCTGTCTTCTTCCTTTATGGTTTATAAAATATGCAATGGCTAACATACTGTCACCACTACCACATACAGATAAACATAAGTATCTGTAATTGCTGTTTGCATAAGATACATCTTACCAGATACATCTTCAGAGCTGAAAATTAATTCCATTTTATTTGTGCATATTGACATTTTATATCCTTAGCTTATGTTTATGTTTAGACTCAAGTTTGTTAGCCTTCAGAGAGCAAGAATTTTACCTTTTTTTTTAAAAAAAAAAAGCTTTTGCATATCCAAAATCCACAACTGATTGTTTCCAGCAGTATGTGGTATAGTATAAGAAGAGACAACTTAAATAAGATTTTCACTTGATAGCCAGATGAAGGACATGCTGAGCAACAGAGACCGTGAGATATCTAGCTTGCATCGCCAGCTTGATACGTCCCATGTAGAACTTGCAGAAACAGGAAGAATAAAGGAAATGGCTCTGAAAGAAAACAGGCGATTGCAAGATGACCTAGCTACAATGGCCAGAGAAAACCAGGTATGAAGGCAGTACATAATACTGAAGTATTAAACTATTTATTGCTTGCTTGCATATAGTGGTACATCAAAACCGCTATATCCTCAGTTTTGATTTGGTATCTTTAATTATTGGTATTTCTTGAACACTGGGATATTAAAAATGACTGGGCAGAAATTGTAAAAGCAATTACTTTAGATACTTAAGCATAGTCAGTACAGTGGGGGAGAAACAGACAAGCTTTCAGTTTAGTCACCCTTCCCCAGATTAAAAAAGAAATCTAAATAAAATAAATCTAGGACATAATTGTTTATACTATAATGAAATTATGTTAATTGGTTATATCACTTGGTAGTTGGTATTTAATTGGTAAAAATTGGCTTTTATTATCTGTGGAACAGGGATTATTGAGAGAGAGCAAGAAACCACAAAAGTGGGTATCAGGTTATTAGTCAGGTGAAAGGGAGAGGGAGAGGGAGGAGATTGCTAGCACATCTGAATTCGTTCTGGTGCATAGTGATTCATTAGCTTCATTCATCTAGTTTCCATGACGCATTGGATGTATTGAGCGAGATATGCCACGTTTTGAGATTAGAATGTTTTGGTATGTAGATTTTAATGTTTGTGTTCTGTGAGCTTTGGTAATGGTGGCTGTAAAGAGGTATTGGCAGGTTTTTAATTTCCAGTTCTGGCAAGGTTAGTTTCCATTCATGTGTGTTGCTCTGCAGGAACTTTGCTTTCACTGATGAGTTGGGAAAGGTTAATTTTGGGGGAGAAAATATAAGAGGGCTTAAAAGCTACAAGACAGAGGGATTGAAGAAAACTTATTTTTAAGGGATGATAGTCCTGAATAGTCTGAATTTGTTTCCTGATTTCAGGAATGGATAAGGATGCACAGTCGATGGGAATAGGAGGGGTTCCTTTTCCATTGTGTCAAGGTTATGTGGGGTTTTTAGATGGTGAATTCAAAGGTGCCATCTGTTTCCCTGGAGAAATGTTCTTATTGGATTGTCTTTGCGTTGGTAAGGTAGGTGTCATGGTGAGGTGGTATCTTAGAGTTCAGCTGTATATTGCAGCTTTTTTTGTGTGTGGGTTTTGTTTTTTGTGGAGATTCTATTCAGGTACTTTATTTGGCTGCTTGCAGAGTTTTATGTTATATATTTTTATTTGTATTAGTTTTATATTATTTCATCTTTCCTTAGCTCTCCAGTAGTTTAGAGTCATAATGTACCTCCTTGTTAACAGCTAGCCAGTCAGTAGCTTTAGGCCAAAAAGCAGGTGGGAAGTGGGTTATGATTGCCCAGTGGACTCTGAGTTGGTTCCTGTGTATTTATGGTCAGCTTTCCAGTTGGGAGGTATACAGTCCCTCTCAGCTGCTGACGGTTAAATACATTTCCTTGTAAAGTGCATGCGATAAAGGCACGACTTAAACTTACGTCAGTTACAGAATCAAAGTTGAAATAAAATCTTTAATGCCTTGAGGAATTGCCTATTTCCATAGGGTATCATTGAATATTTTATTGAAACATGAGCTATGTCAAGTTGATGGTGCAGGTTAAATAAAAATTTTGCAAGACAGAAATAGTTGAGAGATTCAGTGAATTAAACTGTTTGATTATCATCACTATTATTCTTGTGGCATCTTCATCTTGAGATGTTCTCCAGGGGTCCACAAGTTAAACCAACCACTGGTGTGTAAGGCTCATTCTTTCAAGAGCATAAGGGGTTTATATAGTATAAGGCCATTTGCACTCTTCCCAATCATCATTGCTCCATCTCTTCTTCCTTGGAATTCTCTGGGTCTGGGATCCATGGCTTGGAGAGCCTGAAGTGCATTCAGTCTTGTTAATCACTCACATAGTTTGAGGAATAATGAGTTGGTTTTGTGTACCAGCTGGTTACTGCTGACCAAAAGCCTGCCAGCTCCAAGTGCATGATATGGATGTCCCTGTACAATAGAATGTGCATATGGACAATATATAACAAAAATGTCCAATGTTTTATAGGGTAAGTAACATTTTTTTTATTGGGCTAAACATTAGAAAGACTACATAGAGAATACGTGAATGTGATTTAAAGAGCTAGCCCAGAATTTTGTTGCAACGCGTTACATTCAATTTGTATAGCAAATACAACTACTGCAGCTCATCATGACTCAAATGCCTTGTACAATTTTGATGCTGAGATACAAATGTTTGTTTGAATTCACTGTAAATGCCAACACTAAAAATAATCAGGGCCTTGTTAGCTAAACCATTTATTTCAATTCCCCTCAGTCAACCTGGCTGAGTCTGAAGCTAGAAAGTACAATATAGCAAGGTGTTTTAAGTAAGTGACGTAGTACCCTGAATAGTTCTTGCAAAACCTATGGTACAATACATAGATATGTGGGTCTATTATTGAAATTAGAGATGCCATTCACAGGTATCTAATAAGATGAAATATTAAATATTATCATAATGTGATGACTAAAGCTTTCCCAGTATGCTTGGGAAGGCTACCACAGAGATGAGCAGACTGATTTCAGCGTATGCTAAATAAGGCACACAGTAAAAAGGCTGCCGTTAATGAACATTAATATACCACAAAAAGAAGAAGGGAAAGAAATAAGGCAATATCCTCTATTTTTCCTACATTTGGTAGTGGGGATAGAAGAAGATACTTGCCTTTTTGGCTCTCTGAGCTAGAGGACTCAGAGAAAGGCGAGAGCTGAACCTGAGAGGGACAGAGTTAACAGTTCTAACATCTCAATCAAATTCCATGGTGCATTTTTGATGGCTAAATGTGATCTTAATAATGCATTTAGTTATTTTATCTTGCAATTCTACTTCAAAATAAATGTTCTTTTGTTATAAAATTGACTTTCTAATGACAGAAAACTTTCCTTCACTCAGGCATAGTGAATCATAAGGCTAGAAAAATCCCAGCTCCCAAACATCTGTATGTTGAATTTTCCAAAGATCAGTAGGGTGTGTCATCAGGGAAGCTGCAGATTTTATGAACTGGTATGACATTCATTGTTTTCTGTGATTATTCTTGTCTGGAAAACTCTTTGGTGTATCTAAGGTAATAGGGGCTATTTCTGAACCCTACAAATCCCAAAGGGCTTTGACTAAATTACTTAAAAGTAGAAGAGAATAAAATCTAGGGCATATGCAATTACTTTGATTTAGTCTGATACAGTAATATATAGTGATTAACTTACTCTAAGGCACTGTTTTGCCTTTATGTAATCTCTTTAGGCTATCAGTACTGAGCTCGAAGATGCAATACGTGAAAAAGAAGAAATGAAAACCAGGGTACATAATTATATAACTGAAGTTTCCAGATTTGAGACCTTGATGGCTTCGAAGGTAAAAGTGTAATCTCTAGGCAGTCATTACTGTTTTCAATAAATCCATTAGTTTTAGAGTATAACACATTCTTATTAGGATACAATAAAAAAATTAAGAAATGTATGGTTTGGGTCCTGTTCTCCCTGCCTGTCCCATTTCCTTCTTTACTTTTTTTTTCCTTCTTTCCTCTGCAGTGTTTCAAGCTACTAGTGGATTCATATAAAACCTTATTAGATCTGAAGCACTGATAAATTCTGGCACATCACAATTTCATTGATTATGTTTCAGTTGGCCATAAGACTGGAGAATGACAGACAAATCGTGTTTGAATGTTGTTTTGCTTTTTGAGTTTTGACAAGGCAACTAGTAAAATATCTGGTCCTATTTCATGATTGCAGGCAACAAGCAGCTTATATGATGGTTTTTAATAATTTAAACCTTTTAAAAAGAGAAATTTTATACGTAGTTCTGCAGGAAAGTGTAAAAATAGCACATTGGAATGTTTTCTCTATGAATGATAAGAGTTCACAGTTTTTGCTGTACTGACAAAACAGTGCTCTTGTTAAATGTATTTTATCCTGATACTTGGATTCAAAAGTGTGACATGTGTGCATTAAAACTTATGATAATTTAAAACAAATAGAATTTATGTCAAGACAACATGAACTGACAAGTTTATTATGTGACTTTGAATAGGAAAGAATGATTTTTGATCTGACTTTGACTTGCATGTCTAGATGAATGCATGTAAATTCAACCACTTTTTACAAGTAGAACTGAAGCATAGAGAAAAAATTAAGGTCAGCAGTATGTTAGCTTAGAACTCTCAATTTAAAACACTTGAAATTTAGTTTTTAAGAATTTTGTAATATATCATATGTCCAAAGCACTTCAGCTACAGATGTGGCCACATCTTTGGCAAATGAGAATCCAGTTATTCAAGTCAGGTACCAAGAAGCTGTAGAACATACAGCCAGTGACCAATTATGAAAGGTTGGTTTCAGGTCTAGTATTACATCTGGATGTTGCCTGTGGAGACAAGGATTTACTTTTCTGCACAGTGTTCACTTGCTTAATCATGAGTTTCTGTTTCCTAATGCCCCACCTCATTCTGTCTGCACCTTCCAAGTTCTGCAGGAAACACAGAAGGAATTTCAAAAACAGTAGCCTTCCTCATTAGATAAATCTGATTCATACTAGCAATATGCTTATCCCACTGTGCATTACATGAACAGAGGAAGAAAAGAATGGAGATAAATAAAGAAGAAAAATTAATCACTGACTTATAATATGCACTTGCAGTTGGGCCAAATTAAAATTCACAAGCAACATTTGTTCTATCACTGCCTAACTTGTAAGCACTAAAGCTTGTAGTTTTGTACTTTTGTGATAGACTGCTTGGGTGTATCTGCCCGAACATGTTATCAGTCTTTCAGGCACTGCTGTAATATAAGTATTTGTAAGAGTACAGTAAGTAAAAGAGCTGAAAATGGACTCCTGCTGGAATTTCTTGGAAAGGGCAGCACTAGGATCAGTACGTCTCAGTAATGTGACCCTTGACAATACAGAGAGATCCAAAATAACCCCTCCCCAGGAGCCTTGAAACTCATTAACAACTGCTAAATGTAAATACTTCCATTAATAAAACTGAATGCCATCACTGTATTTATTTACTATTTGGACTTGCAAAAGGGATGATGCCCTTTAGTGGGATTAGGAAAATAGAGAAAGATCTACTTTCTTCTGGAAAAAAGAAGATATTGTAGGGAGTAGGCGTGAAATAAGATCAAGCAACTTGAAGGTATGTTGATCATTGCAGAGTGATTTACTGTTTCATCTAGGAAAAAGAAAACCAAGAATTGTTAGAGAAGTTCCGAATGCTCCATACGCAAGCTGAAGACTGGGAAATGAAGGCTCATCAAGCTGAAGGAGAAAGCAGCTCAATACGACTTGAACTCCTTTCTGTAGATACAGATCGGAGACATCTGCGAGAGAGAGTAGAACTTCTGGAAAAAGAGATTCAAGGGGTAATAACTTGTGCAATGAAATTCTGTCAAGGAAAGTGGGATACATTCAAGTGTTTTTTAATAAAGCAAACATACTCTTTTTAATGCTTTAATGGAAAATAATTCCTATACATGAATGTTTCACATGTGGACACTGAGTTTTCGAAAGAGTAACTGATTTTGGTTAGACGTGCTTTCCTCCTCCCTTCCCTGCTTTCCCAAAATTAGAATCACAGTGTATATTTTAATACTTTTAGATCTCTTCTGTTGGGTCATCATTGCTATTATGTTATTGTCTCTGTAAGAACCTTTTGTTTAGTTGCTTCAAAATATTTGCATATAGCTTTATGAGTGTTTTGTAAACTTAGTTCTTACATTTCTTCGAAGCTTTGAATGAAGTATTTGAAGCATTGGTAGCTGGATTAAAGGTAAAAATCTGATAGTAGCAGTCCAAATCCAGAATCAGGATTCCATAATACCAAAGCCTAGACCAATAGCATAGAAAATAATGAGGTTTATATTTTCGAAGCAATAACTTCATGGAGATCAGGGACATTTTAGAGTATAAAAGTTGTGGATTGACCATATTTTGTCCCATGCTTTTAATTAGCCAAAAAGAGTTAGCGACTTTAATATGTAAGCAGAGTAAAAAATAGATTGTATTTTGGGGGTTTTATGCTTTAATTATCTTCTGAAGCTGGAATCCAGCCTCATTCCATTCTTGTATAGTACTTGTATAATTCTTCAAGATGGTGATTAAAAATTGCAGAGATGGTTTATTAGTTGTTCTTAGCTGTGATTTAGGGAGAGGAGAGGAAAGGAATGTAATATAAAGTTAATTTTATAGGAAAGTTAATTTTGAAGGGAAAAGAAAGTATTAAAAAAACCCCTGTTATCCCCCTTAGAACTGTTAACTCAACATTTAACTGAATTTTACTGAAACGGGTATCCGTATTTGTCTTTGTTTAGCATATCGTTGCACATCAAGCATATGAATCTCAGATCTCCTCCATTACAAAAAATATGTCCAAATTGGAAGAGGATATTAAACGTGAAAATCAGGAGAAGTCTTCTGTGTTGGCGGACCTGGCTTCTGTGAGGGAACTCTGTGTGAAACTTGAGTCTAACAAAGAACTTTTATCTCGACAGCTGACATCCAAAAGCATGGATTATGAAAGGGTAAGCAGCAAAGGCAAATTTAATTTGCTATAATAAAATATCTTCCTTTGTTTTTAATGGTTTTTGGAGAAAAGAATAAATTACTTCTCAGAGCAAGGTAAGTTAATTTACATCACTAGTTTTGCATTTATATATAAATTATAAATTTTGCAGTATACAGATCTATATCTGTGTTTTTTGTACAAAAAGAGGGAGTTTCATTCATTATCATGACAAAATGTGGCAGCAGTAGTTTTTGCTGTACCACAGAGACATATTTATTTGGGTTTATGTACTGGTTTTTAATTTACTCAAATTTTCAACTTTTTATAAAAAGTGAATAGTGCGCTTCTTATTTAGCTATTAAAGACTTTTCCCTAATGAATTTTTCCAATTAAATTGAAATTTAGATTCAGCTGAAGTTCATTAAATATTTTGAAATAGTTTAAACAGTTCTAAATATCCATAATTTCTGAATTTTTTTCTTTACAGCTAATTGTTGTGTCTTTACTTAGTGACTTGGTCAAGCTTTCTGTTACTGTAATATTCAAGATCTTGAGAACAGTAGTTCTCATCCCCACAGAATTTGTTTATATTCATAGAACCGATGAGGAAAACGAGCATTCCTATATTTTCAGCAAAAGCCAAGAAGCTAATTATGAGCTAACCCAGTCAAATAGAATGAAGTATAGCAAATACTATTTTTGTACTTGTGCAAAAGCCTCCTGCTGTTAAAAGCCAATTAATGTTCTGGGTACTTACCTAAGCGTTTCCAGCACTCAGTAATCCAACTCCCAGTAAAACATTTGACAGATGTACAGCTTGAATAGTTTTTAACTAACTATAGTTTTAAATAATTGTAGGCTTTAATTTATTTTGTGAGCTCAGTTTCCTATTCATTTTTATGAAACTTCCAATCATTTCAGTTTTCATAACAACTCTTCACGAAAGAGAACTCTGTGTGTTTGTAAACCAGCGTATTACTAATGTATAAATTTGTGCCTTAGGTTCTAGGTGAATTAGAAGATATAAAATCAGAAGCAGAGTTGCTGAAAAAGCAGTTATCCAGTGAGAGACTTACTGTTCAGAATCTTGAAACATTGCTGGCTACTAGTAGAGACAAAGAATTTCAGAACCATTTAACATCCCATGAGAAAGATTCAGAAATTCAATTATTGAAAGACAAGCTAACACTCGCCGAGAGCAAACTGTAAGTTTTAACAAGTGTATGTATGTGTTACGTGGTTCACTAAGAAACTTTTTCTGTGTGACAACACTTATTCACCAAGTCAAATTCTTGATGTTCACTACTGCTGAGCAGATTTTTGCAGCAATGTCTTTTGGCCTTTCATGGCATCGTTTACTTAAAGTTTCTTTACAGATCTTTCATACCGCTTTCATTAATCAGCACTCTGGTGGACATCAGTTTAGTACAAGCAGTAAACTTAAACAGGAGTTCCAAAGGAAACCTACTCTAAAAGGAAGGAACACTTGGAGTTTTCAGAGTCTTGAGAATAAGCACTCAGTTTCTCTCTGGATTTGTTCCCAGACTGACTCCAGAAGGTTTGGTTCAGTTTCTCTGCTGGTCATGACTCTTTCTCACATCAGTCAGGCACAGGCGGTGAATTCTTTTCCTGAAGTTCACTTGTCTGATATAACTCTGCCATTTTTCCAGTGCAATCACTAAAATCTTTTCTTTCTGAGCCTCTTAGTGGACATAACTACCTAATGGTGAGGTGGCTGATCTGTTGCAGACATTATTTCCACTACAGAACCAGTCAACCCATGAAAATTTGTAAATTTTTTTAGCTGTTGAGTACATCTATAAATGTATGTATGCACTGCAGTACGATTTGGATAGTTAACCTTTGCATTCAGAGTGTATCAATTCTCAAAATATATAACCACCTCTCTCACAGGTTCTGATTTTCTTCCTAGCTTCAGGAAGCAATCTAATTCAACTCTGCTTTTTTAAGCAAAATGTCGTATTTTTATTTGGCTTTGAAGAGTTTAACTATGAGTTTAATTATTAAGAGAACGCAAATTTTCTTAGTCTTGAACTGTTTTATGTTCTTATATTGGAGAGTTTTAACTCCTTTAGAACAACATGGATTCATCAAGCATCTCAAAGCAAACTGAAAGTAAAATGTTAACATATGAGAACTGCTCACAAAAAAACTACCAAGTGGATTAAATCTATGGTAAATGTGAATTGCTTACCTACTGAAGATGCCTGTTGTCCTTACTTTGATTAAAGTAAGAATCATTTACATAATAAATAGTGAAGTCATAGTGCTTTAAAGAAGCAAAAGTACTTTTGCTGCTATTAATATTAACTGTTAAGGAAAAAGTCCTGTATCATTTATTATTCCTTTGAAATATAAATGGAACTGAACCTGGAACCTATACTAAATGTGGCCAGCACTTTCCATTATAGCTAACTGCAACTTCTTATGCTGTGCATCTGCCTAGTGTAGAAATAACTTTTTAACACTCTTATAGAAGAAAGACTAATCTGTTTGGAACAATGAAGTTAAGGGGGGGATATTTTGTGTATATCAAATTCATGTACAAGAGAAGTGGGGGATTTAAATAATTTTCTTTATGATATGGAGCAGGGAATTTGAAGTTTCCGTGATATCTGTCATCATGATGTGATAATTCTCCTGGGGATAAATTAGCCAGTGACTGTAGTGGTATCTCTGCATTAAATAGCAAGAAGGAGGAGTAGCAGCTGAACGCAGATGGTAGTGAAGAGTAAAGTCAAAGTAGAATTTCAGAAAAAGAAAAACAGATACACCTACTTAGTAAACACTGAGGTAGGGAGAGAAAGGAAGGTAAAAGGACAGATAATACTTCCTTATGAGATATAGAATATAGCATACCTAAACAGTTAAAAGCTATCTGTAACTTGGTGATGCAAATGTGCAAGAAAAATGCTTTTGGTTGATTTACGTAAAGGCTACAACTTACCACTGACAATGGTCCACCTCAAGTAGCAGCGATCTCAATGAATGTGTAGATGACAACACTATTAATCGCTGCTGTGCAACTCATTGCTTCATGGTTTAGAATTGCTGAGTTTTGTTTACTGGGGGGGGGTAGTTAATTGCATACAAAGAACAGGAATGTCCTGACTGTGAAATTAAATGTGAAAGTTACAAAAAAAAAAAGGAAAGAAGAAGGTTTTCATTTAATTTTAATTTAGCTTCTTTGTGTACAAACATTATAAAACTCCATTTAAATAACTTCATAGTAATTTTTTCACAATTTTTATTCTGCATACATTGTAGGGTTCCTGTCTTGTTTGTTGTAAATGTCAGTACTTGCATTGTTAATAGGATGGGATATTGCAGGAAGAAGGAAAATGTTCTCTTGGAGGAATAGTGGCTATTCTATTGAATTGTTTATCTCAAAGGTTCTGCATGTTGCTAGGTAAATGTTCAGGTGTGAGAACTAGTTGTATATACCTTATTTTCTACTATTCAGTTTGTAGTAGTTGCAGTCTAAAGAACAGGAACTTTAAATGCTCACAGCTGTGACTGAAGTACGTGACAATTATGTTTGTGTCTTGCGAAATATAAAAATTCATTTAACTTGGCAAAATTTCAGTTCTAACTGACAAAAATCATGTGTCGATATTTTTTGAACATTATTTACAGTTTTGGCCTTACTGTGCCTGTGCTTCCACTCTATTTATAAAATGGTACTGACACAACCTCTGACTTTAGAAGGATTCTCAAAATTAAGTTTAACTTGTGAAGTTCTCCAGTGCTGTAATTTTGAGCTCTGTGAAGAGAGAGTAGTTGTGTTACTCGGAGTGCTGTTTGGGTGATAGTACAGTAAATGAGATCTTGAAGCTCTACAGTGATTAAGAATTAAATAAACAGAGAATATTGAATAGCTAAACTGCTTGTTGAGAGCTATCTGTATCTACTGTGAAAGAGCCAGATGTCCTATGAAAAAATAGTATATCATGATGTAATCTTATTATATGATGACTACTGTGCATAGGGGTTCCAAATTAAAATATTTCTTAATTTTTGAGTGATTTACTTCATGATCTTAATTTTGTTTAAATGTCATTGACATAGAATAACCTCAGAACTCACAAACCCGTTTGCTTTCTTTCTTTATTTTACAATAACGATCTTGGGCCCTGAATTCTTACCTCCATCCTGAAAGCATATGCCTGTCTCTGAAGGACTTAGAATAAGATATCATCGAGACCTCTTGTCTTCTGCGTCTGTTCTCAACATACTGGATCAAGATACCATTCTAGGAATTTTACTGATGAATAGGGAACACAGGAAAAAATATTCTGCGGTTCTTTTTGGATCATATCTCTTGAGTAGTTTGCATCTTCTGGGAGTCAGAGACCAGCGGGTGCCAGACAGGAAGTCTGTGACTGAGCTGGGAGTGGAACTCGTTTTTCAGACTTCAAGTCCAGTGCTTTAGCAATAAACTAGTACATCTTTGCTTCTCCAGAAGTGACTTTTGAGCACTCCACCTCATATTGGCTTTGAAGACTCTATGGAATAACATAGCTGTCTAGACTCTGGTTTAGACAACTTATTTTACACTCGATTTTTTTTTGCTTGCTTTTTTATAATTCAATTAATGGTGTTTTGCAACCAAGCATTGAGTCTTCTAATATGATGAGAAGTATATTTAATTATGTTACTTAAGATTTTCAAGGCTTCTTTTCATTTTGATTCTTGCAGTTGAAACAGTTGGGCCCCAACACCAAGGATGTAGTTGGCAAGCTTTCAGATTCTGGGTTTTGCTGGTCTGGGCTTGCATTAATACAGCTTTTACTTAGATTTGATTCAGTTGTGTTCATTGCTAGCCAGATAGTTCCAGCCTGCTTGATAGAATTTTTACTGAAGCTATATCTGTTATGTTTGTATTTTTTGTGGATAGTTACTGCTTTTTTTCCTTCTTTTTTTAAATGTACACATAAAGACCATCTCGTATTGCAACAGAGGATAGTAAATCAATAAATTAATGATTTAATTATTTTGTCTGTTTTTATAAAACATGTTTGTGTTTACCTTTGTCTGAAAAAGAACATGATGTATTGTAGTAAGGTTGTAGTGAGAAACTTGCCAGCTTCTCACTTCGTTCTCACCTTAGGTTCCTCCAGAAACATTCTGTGGCATTCACTTGGTTCTCGCTTCTGATTTGTCTTTGATTTGGTCTGTGTGAACAACATGTTCGGTATCTATTTTTGTTTTCTCATGCTCTAATTCATCTAAGTTCCTAGCTGACGGTGTTCAAAGAAAACTGTTGCTTCTCATGATTTTTTTTAGAAGCAGCTGTAATAGAGAGGTTCCCATACTTCGAAGTAAAGTTGCACAGCTGCAGACCGACTGTGATGTTTTAAAAAGGCAACTGACAACTGAACGATTTGAACGGTAAGATGCTGTTTTTTCAGTGAGATGACTTCTTGTTTCTTCTTTCTCACTTTTAAAACTTGTTTTTTTCAATAGTGAGGAACTCTTATGGAAAATTGTGTTCCTATTGTCATGCAAAATCTAATATTCTCATCATGAAAACTGCTTAATTAAAAAAGAAAAAAACTTATACAATTTTGGAATTCCCTCGTAAATTTTGTCAGTTTGCCATTGCATCTAAAAAAAAAAAAAATCCCTTCTCATGAAAACAAGAAGAAAGTTGAGTGACATGAGAAAGCAAGGCTCTTTGCAAAGTATTGTGAAAACCACCAAGTAAAAATATGGAAAAAAAAGTTACATTTTCTTCCTTTAACATCCTGTAGTACCAAAGCGTTATGTAACTGAAATTGCTATCTGTTGGTAGAGAGCGTGCAATTCAGGAAATGCGCCGACATGGTCTCTCTACGTCATCTTTACGTGCTTCACCTCCTCTCAGTTCAACATTAAGGTCTCCCTCACATTCTCCAGAACGTACTATTGTAAGGACAACTGATCAAGCAGCAGCTGAAAAGTAAGTGATTTGTTTTTAGCAGATTGTTTCTGTTTAAGAGTTAGGTTTAAACTGTTTCTAAATAATACTTTTTTGATTATATGAAATTCTTACACACTTTAGGTGGTTCGAAGTTGTTCTTTTGTTGACTCTCCTACTATAAAATATTGATTGGAAACAATACATGCAAAGTGCTCTCCAAAGACCATATAACGTAATGGATTCCCATTCCTGGTTTTGTTAATGGTCTTGCACCAGCTGACAGCTTCCAAATATATATCGCCTGCTTATTATTACCATTAATTATATCCAAATATATATTGCCAATTTATTATTGTTAATAGTTATCTCCAAACAACGAATGATTCATATTAAGAGAAATGCCATGAAATTCTCTCAAGTACAGCAATGAAGGAAAGACACTCCATAGGAGAGAGTCCAACTAAAATGCATTTGAACCCTACACATTAGATGAAACTGTCTCCAAAACAAGCGCATAAAAATAATCAATGCATTTTTTATTGTTAGTGCTTGGATGCTATGAATGTCTAAGATCGTGGTCACTAGAGTCCGCAAAAAAGAAGTCAAAATCAATCTCTCATCTGTTCATTTTCACTGACATTTTTGTTCTAGAGATCATTGTTGTTTTAGATTATGTCAGTTATGTGTTACATGATTATTGACTTTATATCCTGTCTGTCCTATACTGCATAATAAATTGCAGTGAAGAGCAGAAGGACAGGGAGAGATAAACAGGGATTGTTTTAGGAAATATGTGTGCTATAACAGCTATATAGTATACTATAACAGCTCATCAATCTAACTATATAACTGCTGAACTCCAAGAAACAGAATTCCAAACCGATAAGATTTTAAACTTTATTTTTGTTGGTAAATACATATGGCTTGTTCCTAAGCTTGCTTTTGTTAACAACAACACAGGTTTCCCGAGAACTGAGGTCAGCATGGCATGATCCACGTTGTCAGCAATTTTTCTCTTCTTCTGCGAGTTTTTGGACAAAGCAAAAAAAGGAAACTGTAGCAAATGAGATATTGATAGTAGGGATGAAACAGCAGTTATGACTTTTGCTTTACTGGTGAGCCATTAGGCAAACCCTGTTACACTGCAAATCAACATTTTGACTGAGATAATGATAGATAATATATTTCTGAGAATGAGTATCATCAGTAGAGAATTGTCTTTAGTCTTCCTTGCTTTACAGTGAGTCCCAAGAGAATAAAAACAGTCCAGTTGCTATACTTGAAGAATACCATGTAGTGAACTATTTTTATCCTACTATTTGCTAACTAAAACTTAGTTTTAACAATGACAGCTCTGTCCCATAATATCTTACCAGAAAATATCCCATTTTCATGAAGTATGTATTTTTAGAGAAAGTGTTTTTTAACAACTGAATTCATACGCAGTTTATTTTTTTACTGTCTTGCCTTTTAAACCTATCAATGGATTATTACATTAGAATTGTCTCAGTAGTACTATCACCATCTTTCACTCTACTTATTTATTCCTTCCTGGGAGCTTAGCACAGTAAAGTGTACTCTGTAATTACCATTCTGTAGAGTCACAACTGTCTTTTTCTCTAATCTGATTTAATCTTCTCAAGAAATTTTCTCTTCCTCCTCGTCTCACATTTACTTTGTTAAGCATTTGAGCAATGAGTCAATGAACTGAATGTAGAGTTTTAGATAATATGCTACTAGTTGATATTCAGGAATAACAGAAGAGAATATAAGGCTAAATCTAATTATTACTTTTTATCCTAATAGTCATTAGTAAAATATAATAGATAGCTTTATTTTGAATTTTTTTTCTTTCTCCACCAGAAACGTGAGCTTCAAGGAATAACCAGTACTTGAGCACCTGAAGCATTACCTTGTTACAAGGACTTTTTTTTTTTTTAATTATGAAGGCTGACTTGTGTTCTACCTCTGTTTTCTTTAAATCAGTGATTACCTTTGAAATTTCTGAGAACCGGTGAAGTAATCAACTCTGCAAAATTCTGCTTTCCCAACTGGCTGGGGTGACTGTGTTTTGCTGGCTGTTTGACGGGTTTTGTGTCAAGGCTGGCTAAGTTTTGTTACTGTTTTGCAAACACAATAATTATAAGAAGGAAACGAGTACTTGGTATGACAATCTCTTGTTTTCATTTTACTATTTTGTTTCTCTTTGCTTATCTCATATGGTTACAGAAGTTTGTTCATCGTAGTGTGAGCTAACACAGAATAACATACATTGTTGAGCTGATTACCCAACATGAGTATGTTAGAATAACAAACAAATGCTGAGCCAGCGTATGTTTTATACTCATGACGATTTCCTATGTTTGGGCTTTTAACAAGTGTTTTCTGTTTACAGGTCATTCTTCATGGTATTTAAAAGTATGGATTATCTATTTTGTGAATGCATTTTGTTTACTGTACCTTTTCTTAATAAAAAAATATATCAGTTATTCTTTATTAATGTTTTTGTCATCTAACGACTCATCTCTGGTTAATCTTTGTGTGAAATTGCATTTTAAATATTATCCCAATATTAAATAAAAAGTGAAGAGAAAAATGGTATTTTTAAAGATTTGTTGAAATCCCTTAAATATTAGAAAATTACTTTGAAAATATTTTATGTTCAAATTTTTGAATCATATCTGGAGGTATTTTTCAAATTTTGGCTTTAAAAGACCCGAACAAAACCTGGAATCTTTCACACAGTTAAGCTCAAGCTGTTGGAGAGGTGACACAGGCCTTTATGTTGTGACACACACATTAGGCAAATGCAGTGAGAACTAATCTTTAAAATACCTGGTGTATTTAGCAGAGGAAGCATTTCAAATTTAGGCTACGAAGAAAGATGCGATTAGCAAGCACAATCTTACGATATGCTCTTAAAGTCTCCATCTATGGAGATAATTGTATATCACATCATTCATCGACTCAAGAGCATACAGTTTTCTAATGATTACACGCCGTGCAGGTTGACGCGGTGTGTATTATCGCGCAGAGGACTGGAAGTGGGAGGATGTATTGTTGTACGTCCTTGCACTGGCCAACAGGTGTAGTGTTCTGCTTGCCTAACGTTGAATAAACAACTGTCATTACCAGCTAACATTACAAGCATCTCTAAGGTGTAAACAACACATTAAATGACATGGAAAAAAAAAATTTTTTTTTTTTTTTGCTTTTAGCTTTTGTCTGTTTTGCACTGATTGCTACAGTGGGAAACTATAAAGAATAATGTGTTAATTGTCTCATATAGTCATAGAAAAATAATTGCTGTCACAAGCTATAGAGATCCATTTTATTTTTCATATATTGTATTTTGTCAGTTTTGTTATTTAATATGTGTCTGTATGTATTAAATTTTACTCATTAAAAGCAACTTAGAACACCCATTCAGAAGTACCTGAAAATACTTGTACCGCATTAGGCTTCTGAGCCCTTGGAAGGAATTGTTCACGTAAAGTGGGTGCACTTCATACTTTTTACTTTTTAGGTCTCTCATTTGCCAGTTACAGGAACGGGGAGAGCATCGTCTCTACATGTTACTTACGTATTAATACCGTTTGTAATGAAGTCAGTCGTTTCCACTGATGCTAATTGGCGTTAATTATTCAGGATGAAGCAGTTCAGTAAGAATGAGAAAAGAACTCGTTCTGCTCTCGATGTCTTCGGGGTGACTTTTAAATATCTTATTTTGTATATAAACCCTTTTAAATTGGAATCTGAATTTTAAAAAAGGCAAGTGTTCCATTTTATTGAAAATACTGCATTTCATCTTACCAAAAAATGTATATTGTGATGCTACAATTAAAACCATGACACTTCAATTAATAGTAACTCTTACATGAATATCAATTATGAAGAACTAGCGGATCGTTGAGCACAGGTGGTATAACAAAACTGGTATCATTTTGGTGACCAAAGCCTGTGCTGCTTTAGTTTTTCAAAATTAAAACATTACGAATGTTCAGACTATAGTAAAGCTGTCATTTTACCTTCTGTTACTATTATTTTGTATACATTTTTGTAAGCAACTGGAATAAAAGAAAAGTAATATTTACGCAACTTTGCTCTGAAATCAAGGATTTCATTTCATGAAGTACAAAACAAGCACAAATTTGTGGAAGATTTAAACCTGTGGACTACCATATACGTCATGTATGAAACAAGCCTGGACTCCGCTCCAAGAAGCTTCTGTGCTGTCCTCACCACCTGGAAGATCAGAAGATCATGGAAGCCTCATGACCTGTTTTTGTCCTCAGCTGGGGTGAGTTGAAAGCAGAGGGGGGCAGACACTAAATCATGGGAGAAGTCCGAATACTCACGTTGTCTGTCTTCTGTTGTTATCTGCAGTTGGGGATGGGGGAAAAGTAACATCAGAAAAATAATAAAGGAGAAGCAATAATCGTTGGGGCTGTTTCTCTGCAAAACAAAGTAAGTGTATTGTCAGAAGCAGAGGAATCTGGAGACAATAAAAAGACAGTTTTTATCAATTTATTAAAACCTGAATTGCTCAGTTAAACATAATGTGTTTTTAAGAAGTTCTTAGAATTTTTTTTTGTTTTACGCTATGTCCCTAAAATTTAGATAATTAAAGTTAAATAAGCAATTCTAGGGTTCAGTTGGAAAACACGATTTGTTCCTTTTTTGTCACCCTAAATCTGAGAAACACAGCTTCCTATGTGATGCTAATTACAAAAGGTTAAGATTAGGGCTTCGATCTTTCAATTGAAAATATTTTCTACAGAAGTTGGTGCACGCGTGGCAAGCCTGACCTATTCAAATCCTATTATTCCTGAATGAAGCCATATGACCACAGACGTCTTTGGTTTTTTAAACCATTCTTTGGGACAGAATTTTATACTTCCTCTTTTTCTCTGCTAACAGTGTAAGAAACCAGTTGTGTGCAGTTTTGGTACCCTGGTCTTTTAGCTTCATGTATACAGGCATTCCGGTTTCATTCCCTCCTCTGACCCTTCTTGGGCAACACGAAGATCGTAATAGCTGCAGCAGTATTAATTCCTGGACCTGAAGTCTTACATTCATCCTCCAGCATAAACGGGGGGAGAGAGAAAAAACAGTGCAAGCACTCTTCAGCAATAGCTGAAACACTGGTGTGCTATCAGCACTGTTTTAGCCACAAGGCAAAAAAAACTGTTACCTTCTGGCAGGCTGCAACGTTATCTCTGTCACAACATCCACCGGTGCGCAGCGCAGGCCCGCGCGGGGCACTCCGGCAGACCGCCTGCACGGCAGCCACCCATGCCCACCACCTACGGGCTGCTCGTGCCCGGTAGAGCAGACGCGGCCTGCCCCAGATAACCAACTCCCCAAGTGCAATGTCTTCCGTAAGGCTCCCAGTACAAGATGGACATGGACATTCCTGGCGAGTCCAGCAAAGGGCCCCGAAGACGATTAAGGGATTGGAGCACCTCTCACATGAGGAGAGGCTGAGCAAGCTGGGGCTGTTCACCCTTGAGAAGAAGAGGCTCAGGGGGGAACATCTCCATGTACACAAATACCTTACGGGTGGGAGTAAAGACTGAGACAGTCTCTTAGTGGTATCCAGGGAAGGAAGGTACAAAAGACAACGGGCACAAATTGAAATACAGGGAATTCCATCTAAACGGAAGAAAAATGCTTTTTTTTTCCATGAGGGTGGTCCAACTGGAACAGGCTGCCCAGACAGGTTGTGGTGTCCCCATCCACGGAGGTATTCAAAACCCAGTGGGACACAGTCCCGGGCAGCCTGCTGTAGATGACCCCGCTTTGAGCAGGGGGTTGGACTAGACGGTCTCCAGAGGGGCAACAATTCTGTGACTCTGGGAAGTTTTCCTAACAGTAGGTAAGTGCCTATCCAGCTGTAGTGAAATTGTCCCTTACTGTCTATATTATGATCTTTGACTTTTCTAAAATTGTGAGTATAAAAATAATTGTATTGCCATCGTTTTGTCTCGGTATGACTCATCTACATTAGAGCTCAGGTAGATGGTGAGTTTTGGAATTTATCACAGGATAGTTGCCTATCCCACCTGCGTGTGCTGCTAGCTCAGCATCATCCGAGCCGGGTTGCTCCACCAGGTTGGTCAGCGGTGTGCCCTTTACCATTTCAAGGTGATGGTGCAGGGATTAGGTTGTTTGCTTTAACTAACTAGAATGGCATGATGGCAAATGGAGGAAAGTGGGGAAAAATGAGAACGCCAGTGGCTGCTTCTCCTTGGTTTTAATACTGCTGAGCAGGGACAGCCGTATTTTCCTGAATGCAAACACAGAAATGAGTTGCAGCGTGGTTAGCCGTGAGCCAAGGTCTGCAGGAGCAGACACTGCTCTTCGGGGAGATTTTCATTGAGCCTCTAAGTCCAAAGGAGCACATTGACATCTGAGCTTGTTTTTATTTGAAAAGAGATGTGTGGATTACTGGACTATAGCTGTGTGTGCAATCTTTCTCTGTACCCATTTGCTTTGCATAAATGCATAAATAAATCACGTTGAATAGGAGGTAGGCCCCCCGGCTTGCTCCTTGCTTTTAAATGGTGTATTTGTGCCACCTAGTGGACTCATGTCTTTTCTAGCGATCATGGCACGTGCTTGACAGGTTCGGGTTTCTCCATAGAAATTCTAGATACAGCTAATAAACTCCAAGTGAAAGAATTGCTAATAAAGCCACGTGTTTCTGAAGCCCATCCATCACTTTGCTACTGCGGTTTGTGGCTGCATTGCTTTCCAGAAATTGTCGGTCCTTAAGGGAAAAAAAAAAAAAAAAATCTCATTTTAGCTTATTTTCTCCTCCAGGAAAGTGAAAAAGCTCAACCTTAGTCAAGAAAGGTCTGATGTAATTGAGCAACTTGGCCG